CTGGACCTCAGAAAACACAATGGACCAACACCAGCAGATGACATGGCACCCCAAACCATCACTGACTGTGGAAACTTTACACTGGACTTCAAGCAACGTGGATGAAGTGCCTCTCTTCTTTTCCTCCAGACTCTGGGACCTTGATTTCCAAAGGAAATGCAAAATTTACTTTCATCAGAGAACATGACTTTGGACCACTCACCAGCAGTCCAGTCCTGTTTCTCTTTAGCCCAGGCAAGACGCTTCTGACGCTGTCTGTGGTTCAAGAGTGGCTTGACACAAGGAATGCGACAGCAGAAACCCATGTCTTTCATACGTCTGTGTGTGGTGGTTCTTGAAGCACTCACTCCAGCTGCAGTCCACTCTTTGTGAATCTCCCCCACATTTTTGAATGGGTTTTGTTTCACAATCCTCTCCAGGGTGCGGTTATCTCTCTTGCTTGTACACTTTTTTCGACCACATCTTTTCCTTCCCTTCGCCTCTCTATTAATGTGCTTGGACACTGAGCTCTGTGAACAGCCAGCCTCTTTAGCGATGACCTTTGGTGTCTTGCCCTCCTTGTGCAAGGTGTCGATGGTCGTCTTTTGGACAACTGTCAAGTCAGCAGTCTTCCCCATGATTGTGTAGCCTATAGAACTAGACTGAAAGACCATTTAAAGGGTTTTGCAGGTGGTTTGAGTTAATTAGCTGATTAGAGTGTGGCACCAGGGGCCATCAATTTTGAACCTTTTCACAATATTCTAATTTTCTGATATGATGAATTTGAGATTTTCATTTGTTGTCATTTGTAATCATCAAAATTAAACAAAATAAACATCTGAAATATATGAGTTTGTATGTAATGTATGAATATAATATACAAGTTTCACTTTTTAAATGGAATTACTGAAATCAATCTACTTTTTCATGATATTCTAATTTTATGACCAGCACCTGTAGCCTAGTGTATGTCTCCAACTAATCCGGAATAAGAATTCAAATAAACAATTGGACAATACATACAATTTAACAGTAATGATTTAATTTACTATATAATAACAGTAACAGTGATGATTTGGGTCACTGTGACGGGGTTCTTTGGCCTCCAAGAATCCAGGCTCAGTCGGGTTACCGGTGTTGGTGATTTATTAAGCTCAAAAACTCAAAACAGGGTGCAAAAGAAACTAAAAATGTACAAGATACTCTGGGCCTCAGCCTCCCTCCAGTTACCAGCAATGTAACAAAGAAACAGAAAACAAAAATTGCCGCTTTTCTTCCCACAGCCCTCATTAAATAGTTTAAGCCCCTCACATCAGGCTCTCTTATTTCTGATTTCTTCTCATTAATCAGTTTTGTCCATATATTACCTCCACAAACAATTGATGTACAAAAACAAATAATTTTTACAACTTAATTCTTTTACACAGATTCATTGACTTATTCAATTACACCAAACTGGGTTTGAACCCAGCAAAGACGCAGCCAGACTGAAGATGACAAGTCCCCGTAGCATAAACACGTACACACACACACCCCCCACACACCCACACACACACACACACACGGCTAACCCCACTGAAATATTAAGTGTGCACCCTCAATATGCCAGCAGGTAACCAGGAACAGCTTGTGTGTTTTAAGTTCATGGAGCTACTGGTCTCAGCGCGAGTGTATTGGTCCTCACAAACACAGTATAACAGGAATGTGTGTGTGGCGCGCAAAGTTAGAGAGGTTGTTTTAAGCGACGAGGTGGATTCGTCACAGTCACAATAACCATGACAGGAAATGTTCATATCCTACAACAGGGATGTTCTTCTGGCAAACGGGTAGATAAATAAGGATCTCACCGAATTTGGTGGAAGCTGCATCTCGGTCGTTACATTCGCCATCTTCCCTCTAATGGGCCTTTCAGACAGGCTGCGACGACCGCACTGCTGCGCTGTGAAACCCATTCTTTTCAATGGCTTGCGCCGCGCCAGGGCGGTCTATCGCTGCGTCGAGCAAAGCGCAGCGCAGCGCTTCGCGAGCTCGCGCGCAGGCCAGGTCAAACTTTGACCGCGGCGCGCCGTGACGAATGCACGCGTGGCCAATAGAAACCATCGGCTGGAAAGACCAGGAAGCAAAATGGAGGAAAAGCTTATACTGTGTGTGTCTGAATTCCCCGAACTATATGACACAAGTTTGCAATTTCTTTCACAAGAGGGAACTCCCCAAGCTGCTCTCTGGACCTGAGTGTTTCGTGCACCCACAGCCTCTTCTTTCTTGCTGCTCTTTTTCTTCGAACTAGCAGGGCTAGTGCTAGCGCTTGCTTCTTAGCACGGGTCAGATACATATTTGCTGCTGACCAAAAGCTGGAACAACAAACAAATGACTAGACCCGGCAACCCAGCCGGCGCAGCGCAGCGCAAATGCGCTGAACCCCGCGGCCAGCGCAGCGCAAATCGCTTCCTATCTGAAAGGCCCATTACTGTCTGCACCTGCGCTTGGGTTCAGAAGCCTGTTAAAGCGCAGTATTTTCAGCGCCCCAAGACCATAAAGTTCTGAGACGCTGATTGGCCATTAAATTCACCTAGCAATAGTACATGATTGACAGATTCTCTGCAAATGTGGGTCAGTCTGATCAGCGCCCCCAGAACAGAGACGGTAGGAGTCTGTCTGTGGAAATCCACAAATTAATGACAGTAGATAGGGAAATGTAGTTTATATAATTTGTTTTGCTTATAGGTACACAGTCTAGAGAGTAAAACTGACATTTATGAGTTAATTTCTAAAAATATATTTTACGTTTCTCTCTTCTTATCAGGGAGGGCGGTGCCCCAGCGCCCCCTATGGGCCGGCCGCCACTGATATATATATTTCTGCAAAGCATTACATGTCTTTTCCATTCAATTATTCCCCACATTCCTTGATCATTCAGTGATGCTTTGCATGATGGACTCAGTGATTTTTCCAATCAAATGTGAACATGTCCAACAGATGAGGCCAACTTTTCCTAGCCAAAAAACTTAGAGCAATAAGAAACATAATTATAATGATCAAGCTTGGTGGAAGGGAACAAAATACATGACGCTTTAGATAATAAATATGGCATTTGAAAACATGATTTAAACTTTTTTTTTCTTGTTATATTTGATTGCTAACCTTTTATCTGGTACTTCTAAAACGTTGCCACATCCTCTTTTCTTCTTGTACAAAACTTAACAGCAGGTCGTCTTTATGTCGAATCTGGAAAATAGTCACATTCACGTTCCCCTTGGTCAGTTTAAACAAACAAAAAAAAAACATTCAGAATCAAAATGGCTTTATTTCCCTAAGCTTAGAAAAATAAATAATGTTTTGTCTGCAAGAAAAAAAAACTACAAACTGAACACTGTAATAGAAAAAAAAATATTTGGTTAAATATAACATTTGGTTTTTACAAGCAGAATAAAAGATAGCTTGATTAGAAATGATTATCTCAGAAGAAAGATAAATGTAGTTTTTTTTTTTGTTCTTTAACTCAGTTTTCTAATATAAAGAGCTGCTGTTTTTAATTTATTTCATCTTCCCATGTAATAATAGAAAGGAATGAATGATGATGATAAAACGTAGAAAGTACCACATGTCTCATTTGAACCAGAATCTGGTTTAGGGCTCAGTTCTTTGCCTGCTTAAGCAGTTAGACATGATGAAAGAAAAAGGAAACATCTGAGTTAAATATCCTCTTGGTTATTTAAAAGCTGCTCTAAACCCTAAATTTAATTATTTTGTGCTTCCAAGGAGGCGGACAGTTTTACATCATCTGGTTTCTGAAAATATTTCCTCAGGCTTTTTTTAAATTCATTTTCCATCCAGTCCTCGTTTCTAACTAGCTGAAGATTTAGTTTTTATTAATTTTCAAACCACTTTAAAGTAAGCTATGAATCATTTAAGCATAAATACATGGAAGGAAGGAACTGGCAGAGGGAAAAGATGCTTTCTCAGGTCAATGTGGATTTGTGGAATAAATGGAATCGGCCTTCTGACAGTGGACATTTTATTTTTTCCCACCAGGTGTTGGATCAGTCTGGTCTTCAGGAAGAGGCGGCACGTTTTCTCAGCTCGCTGCGTCTCCAGCTAAATGACCAAGGCTGCTCTGTAAATGACAGCGTTAGCCTCAGGGTCGAGGATCTTCACAGCAAAATAAAACAAATGTGAGCCACATGCAGTCTGAGTGACACAAAGCTAACGTGCTGTCATAGGATGGCGGGAGGCTGCTGAAGACAAAACGGCGAGGACAGATTACAGGACATGTGGAGGTTGTAAACACATCAGACAGCTACAGAGCCCAGAAGGACTGTAGAGCAATGATAAATCCCTGTTAGCAGCATCTGTGTGTATGTGTGAAGAGTTCGCCCCCTCACTGGACTTATTCAGCAGAAATCCATCCTGCTTCAAAGGCCGACTGAAAGATACGGGTCTGAAAGATGGAAAGTAATGGCTGCTATTTAGTTTTTTTTGTAGCGGGGGGGGGAAATCACATTTATTAATAAACGCCTGTTTTGATTATGGTACAATGCACTTGCGGCTAAAATTTTAGATTTTTGCTTAAAAAACAAACAAACAAAAGGAACTTTTGAGTTTTTTTCTTTGATTAGAAAACTAGATTTAGAAGTTTTATATCTGAAAAAAAGAAAAACATAAAAATACACAAATATTGATGTAAAAATCATGCAAAGCTTCAACTGCTTTGTTTAAAAAGAAAGAAAAAGCAAGTCATTAATTTTTGTGGAAATGTTTATTTCATTTTAATTAATCTAAGATTTATTAAAGCAGCACAGAAACAGATAACCTGAGCTGTTGTTAGTCTTATGGCAGAGTTCAAAGTTTGTGAAACATACCTTCCTTTAAAGAATTTCCAGTCTAAACTCCAGAGAAGCAGGTCACCATTTTAGACTAAACAGATGTGAACTCATCCCTAAACACACTGACGGGATCAGCTCAGGCTCACACTGTTTAAAATGCTTCAGTCTTTATCTGTGCAATGCCCTATTTTTACCCCATTAACAGTAAATAAAAAAAGAGTTGATAGATTTTTGTTTTGCCCAACAAAAGCCAGCTATGAACAGCTTGTGGTGTCCCGTTGTAGTCCAAACGCTGCAGCTCTCCAGCTGGAAGTGGAGCACAAAGGCAGCCTTCTGGTGTTTCTGCAGAGTCCCAGAGGAAAGGTAGGGTAATATTCTCCAGGAAAAGCTCTCATCTCCGCTCACATTCTGCAACCAAAAAAAAAATAGAAAGGACACACATTGGTACATTCCATAAGATTTAGTCAAAGTTTAAAATTTTGAATCTGAAGTTAAGCAAATCGGTAAATAATTCATGAGAAACAATCGGGGGCTCAGTGCATCAAACTTGTTTAGTTGATAAGCCTTTATCTACCTGCTGTTATTGTTGCTAAACCATATTAACTTTTTGTGATCACTGATTAAGCTGATTAAGCTTGCGGTTCTTTTTAGTTTTAGTGTGCAATTTAATTCAGTTTTTTTCTATAGCGCCAATTCACAACACGTCATCTCAAGGCATAATTCAACCAGATCATACAATTAGATTGGTTCAAAGTTTTATATCTAAGGAAAACCAGTATTCAATCCTTGACTTAAAGGCAATCCCTCACACCAAGCATGCTTGTAGCGATAGTGGAGAGGAAAACTCCCTTTTAACAGGAAGAAACCTCCAGCAGAACCAGGCTCAGTGTTCCTTCATTGAACAGAGCTAATGTTTCCTCTAGCAATTTGTTCTTTGTTCCTGGTCTGTGGAGAGTTCTACCCAACTTATGGTGTTGCATCTAAACGTTCCTGTTTTCTGTTTAAACCCAATGGAAAACCATTCCTGTCTTTACTGCTATACTTTTTCTTTGATATCTTTTTTTCTTTCTGTTGTAAATTAGCTTAGTACCTCCAAAATGAAGCCATTCACCAAGCTTTTATTGTTTACAATCTACTATCTATTTGTTTATAGAAGGTAACCCTGGCTCTGTGTTTCTGTTTTTCTTTTCTCTGTTCTCTTCCTGTGTGATATACAGTAGTAGCCATTCAAAATCTCCCTACTTTCATTGATGGGTCCTTGGCTGGTCCTGTACAATTCCTTTTTAAACATCAATCTTTGTACTAAAACATTATTTCTGTCATGATTTGTGGACATTAATATCTAAAGAGAAGCATCATCTCCTGGTCAGACCCTGTAATTTAGTGACAGGGTGGAGTCAGAGTAAAAAAATATATGCAAGAGGGGGTCACTCCAGTGGCTGGAAGTTGCAGCTGCCATTTGGCTGGCGTTTGACTAGGAGAGGCCATTTTGAATGGCTGCTACTGTAATGAATTCCTAACAAAATCCCAACATCACTCATTGCATAGAACTATTCTGAACACCCAGGTACAAAAGACTGTTGGAAAGACGTTTCGGATTATCAAAAATTTCTTGCAGAAAAGGCCAACGTGGAGGTCATTTTCATTTGGTCAAATCAGATCTATCTGGAATACAGAGCAAAATGCTCCGATCAACATTTGCTAAGCTGGCAGTGGTTAATGAATAATGTAAAGGTTATAGATCAGTGTGTTAATCTTATAAACCGATATTACTGTAAAAAAAAAAAAAAACCTAGCTCAATGCTTTCATATAAAAGCATAAATGGTTCAATTAAATAAAATAGGAGCTGTTTGATTGAGTTGTGGTTGTTGGGAGCAGTTTCAGGTTTGGTTGTCGGTGGACTGGACTCCTGTTCCTGCTGAACTGAGCCAGTGGTTCTATAGAACTGATTATCAGCTCAGTAGGCACAGGAATCCCAGCCCAAATGTCCTTTTTTCACCCAAAGCCCGCTGTGCACAGAATCACATGCACAGACCAATGCAATCCTACAGGAAACAACTGTGCATACAAGAAGCTCTGCTGAATGATCAGGTTGGTCCAAGATTACTGCTGCAAAGGTGACAAAAATAGACTTCCTGACTCCATCCTTATGAAGTTATGAAAAATAATCATATTTTTGACGACAATAGAGGGGCGGTGAGAAATTAATTTAATTAAAGATGATTCCTAAACAGAGTTAATCCACCATTATTGCTTTGAAAGAGACGGCATGAACAGAGACAATGTGAGCTGCTAATGTTTTACAGCCTCTCGACTCCAGCATTGCCGCACAATGTTTAAAAGCTTGCAGCTTCGTGGGATATCCCTATCTGCCTATGAGTTTTATAAATGGCCGAAACCAGTTTACAGCTCATCTTTCCGGATGTGTAACTCTGTTGCCTGACAGATTGTCCTCTAGGATTGTACTGTAGCCGTTGGTACAAAGAAACCTCTTGGCCTTTTTTTTTTGGTGCTGTTCTCCAACAAAACTTTAAGGCTTTACTATAACACCTGTTTTGTTAACTTTCACTAATATGGTGACTTCTAAGTTCAAGTGGTTTAATTCAGGGCTATCAGAATAAAGGGGGGGAACAAAATGCATATCTTATTTTTCGGCTACTTTCTGGCATCCATCTCATACAGCACCATAAAACAGGGTTGTGATTGTAATGTGACAAGATTTGAAACTACTGAAGGGGGCATGAACAGTTGTGAAATCCAGAAGGTTTCACATCTCATCACCTCCTCTGATGCCCACATACCTCCTCAGTCCAGACTGCAGAATTTTCCAATGTGCTCTTTGAAATGCAATCCAATACATTTGGGCTTTTTGCAATCCACTCGACATAAAAGAGACAATCAGTTTAAACACACATGAGGAGAAGATGTGGGCTTTTTGTGGGGCAAATCAGTTTATTTTCGGAAGCTTTATGCAGCGTTGCTTGATCCTTTGATGTACAGAGAACCATTTCCCTTCCCATTAGAGAGTAATAAATCACCCTTTAGATACAGGCCCTGATGGCAATTCCTCTTTTTTTTCCTCCTCCTTTTTACGGGCCTTTGATGGTCATTACTCTTTTAACAGGCCCTAAATATAGGTCTAAAAATGGCAAGCTCCACATGGCCCTCATTTCTAATTTACACATCTGTCCTCGTTTAGTCGTCATTTTGTCGCCGCAGATGTAGAGTGCTAGAATACCTCCTTGTTCCATATATATTCTAGCAGATGATGTAAAAGGAAGAAGAAGAAAAAAGAACCAGCGGCGATGAGTTTGATATTCATTTCACTCCATCTGTCACTGCTAAGTTCAAGGAGCAGAACTTATAGAACAGCAATTAGCCTGTTGAACACTGGACTGCACACTAGCTTTACAGCTAAAGCTTTCAGTTTGTGTTTTACGCTCTTTAGCCTCATCCCAGCTGCTGTATTGACAGCTTGGCTATTAAGCGCATTTACCTAAAGATGTATTTCTTTTTTTTTTCCCTAAATGATTAAAAACATACTGTACAGCCTTTTTTTATATCAATACAGAGGTGTTGATCAAGTTGTTTGCAGTAGGATCAAGTCATGCTCAGCACCCTCATGTTTTTTTTTCTTCTTTATCTTTTAGGATAAAGAATTTAGGAGCCTTCTCTCAATATGATCCTCTGAACGAAGCGTGTGGCATGACCAAACTGAACATTTCTGTCCTGCTATCTGAGACTAAACAAAACACACTTCCGTAATGCAGTTTCAATCTACTGTATAAAAACACTTAATAGATCCAGTAAAGTTAGACTGACATCTAACCCACTGAATAACCTTTAAATTGTTATCAAAGGATCCACATTAGACGCCTTGGCCTTGTTTTCCCTTTCAGAGTGGAAATGTGTGAGAACGTGCTTTTCTCACTCTCTGTATCGTTGCTCCCTCAGGCTGAGATTAGATCTGAAATCAATACATATCAGCCGGCAATGCCTGGGCAGCTCTTCTCACTACCAAAGTACTTTTAAGTCTACACACCTTCAGGTGCTTTAAGCATCAACACAATGATTATCTTTTTTAAGTTATTTTTATTTTATCTAAGTTCATCTTTTTTTAATGTTAACAGATCTGCTTCCAAGTTTGATTGCAAAGTCAGAGGAATGGTTCTTTTTGCTGAGGGGAGCGCGATCAGGTTAAGGCTTAGATCATTTTGTGAAGAACCCGTGATGTCATTGTCATTAAAAAAAATTTACTGCAACAAGCCAAGAAATGGTAATACAAAGATTTTCCCTCTGTAAAATAAGACCATTCTAGTTCAAGCCTTAAGTTTCTCAATAAAACTGAGTTAAGAGCTTCAGAGGTACTTAAAGGTACATTTTAAACTTTTATGCTCAGATTTAGTCTTTCCCCTGTTGGTACTTAAACCATTCATTATAACAGCTTGCCGAGAGTTTAAAGATTTGAATTTAGCTGAAAAAAGTATTTGATTAAAGTAATTTTCACATTATATTTCATAGTTCCCCAACATACAGCGTTCTGGTTCGGAAATATACACCGACATAAATGAATGTATTTTTAGGTGTGAAATAATTTCAATCAATAAGAGTAAAAGGATTATTTATTTAATTTTATTCAACACATACTGAAAATTGGCTGGGTGTACTACTTTAAAATTAACCTGAATTTATTTGAGAGAAAAAGGAAAAACATATATTTTGAAAAATGTGAGCTATCATAGAAACTGAATTAGTTGATTCAGGTGTGTGTCACCGCAATCAGCTATAATTCTAAACAGAACAGTGTATTAATAAAAACCTGCTGTAAGTAAGGCTGCGCCATATATTGCGAATATATCATCGTCATCATCATTGGTGCAATATCACAGAGGACGGTTTGAAATGCTGTAATTTATGGCTGATGTTAGTGTTATAAGTTGCATTTTTCATGCTTCTATATATTTAGCCAATTGGACAGTCTCACAGCAGCAGATGGTCACACAAAACACATGGCCCAAAAATATTAATAGAATAAGTTTTTAAGGTGAGGGAAGCACAGAGGAGGAAGAGAGGGGGAAAATTAATGTAAAAACCTGAAACTACTTAGGATGTGTGTTTTGTTTTGGAAGTAATTCTTTTCTTTTTATTCCTTTCTGTTTTTCTTTGTGCCAAGACAAAAAAAAAAATCTAATTTAAAAGACTCTACTTTGAATATTAACCTGCTGTCCTATTTCTTTTAAGCATTGCCACACCGCCATAGGCCTAAAGGTGGGGCAGGTGAGTAAGCACTAGAGAACAGACTGCAAAGTATACAAGGGGGGTGGAGGATTTGTGAAAACCCATAAATCATATCACTCCAAAATATGTAATGGATCAAACTACAACCTAGCTGATGCCAAGTCAAACA